CTCGGAGGAGGAGAAGGAGGAGGAGGAGGAGGAAGGGGAGGGGGAGAAGGAGAAGGAGCAAAAGGAGAAGGCGAAAAAAGTCACAGATGAAGGGGCACTGGAAACGAATGTTACAGAAGATGGGGCCCAAGGGAGAAAAGGCACAGAAGATGGGGTCCAAAGGAGAAAAGGCACAGAAGATGGGGTTCAAGGGAGAAAGGTCAGAGAAGATGTTACAGAAGAAGCCACGACGAAGTATATACCAGTAGGCGAGGCCCGGAGAAAGAAAATCAAGAGAAAAGAGACCGGGGAGGAGCCACGAGAACGGAAGGTCCAACAGAAGGACGCCGCGGAACAGGAGGCAACTGAAGCCGGTGTCACGGGAAAGGAGACACCGAAGGAGACGACCGAAGAGAAGGAGGAAGCCGCACGGGAGGCAGTCGCCGAAGAAGAGGAAACGCCGGAGGAGCTGGCCGCTCTCTGCTCGCTCTTCCGCGAGCTACTCTCTCGCGCCACGCGTCGGCGACCACTGGTCATCTTCCTCGACGCCCTTGACCAGCTGTCGGCTGCCGACGGGGCACACGCTCTCGGCTGGATCCCCGTCAGTCTCCCCGCGCATGTGCGCATCGTGCTGACGGTCGGCGAACGCGACGTACTCGACGCGCTGCGTTACCACATCGACGACGACGACGGCGACGGTGGCGGCGCGCCGCGGAACTTCCTCGAAGTGCGCGAGCTGGGCGCGGAGCTCGCGATGCGCCTACTGCAGACGTGGCTCCATCTACAGGAGAGAAAGATCACGAACGAGCAGGCGGCGCGCGTCGAGGCGGTGTTTGGCGGCTGCAGTACGCCGCTCTGCGCGAAGCTGGTGTTCGACACCGTGAGAAGGTGGACGTCTTACGCGAGTCCGTCAGCACTGCAGACAAACACCGGAGAGTCGATCATGGCGTTTTTCGATAGGATTGAATTACAACACGGAAAGGTAACTGCACACGGCGATCAACTATGCAGTCAATATCAAAGCTTGCTTATTTGGATTTGCCCCCCCCCACCCCAATAATGACATTATGCTATGACGGTCGTGCAGTTATGGTTGTACGAACGTATGGGTACATGTGTCGTTGGATATATGGTTGGGCAATTTGTAATTCAGACTATTTTCACATTAGAATATGCTCACCTCTCAGTTTCACAAAATGTTTTTATTTATTTTTTTAAATTTAAATTACAACCTTTATTTTGTTATATTTTATTCTATTTTCATATTATTTTATTTTTATTTTTATTTTGCTGTCAGCAGGTTCTGGTGCAGCATGCGTTGTCCTACATCACGGCTTCTAGGAGCGGTCTGAGTGAGGCCGAGCTCGAAGATTTACTTTCCCTCGATGACGAGGTTTGGTGACGCCAACATTTCATATACTTTTCATAACAACAATTACGTACACTCCCTAATCTCCGTGTCAACTGGTAGTCTATTTTGCTAAAATTCCTTATTCCGGCAGGTACGTAAAACTATATTAATTTAACTTTTGAATTTTATCTAAATCTGAAGTCAAAAATTCATCAAAAACCAACACCTACATTAAATATAAAACTAAAATTTAGATTGGCAGCGATAACGCGTCTCGTCGTTCGCTTATATATCACATGCTGTATAAACAACATTCAGGAAAAATAATTATGTATAGTTAGTAAGTAGTTAGTAGTATAATTAAACAAAATTATTTATAGTAAAATAGATTACAAGCAAAAATTAATTATAACTAATCATAATATTTTTGTGTGTTATTCCCGACGGATTTGGCACGCAGCAGAAATCCTGCTCTTCTGCAGAGCCAATGAATAATCTGTACTTTGAATAACATTGAAATTACTATTTAAAAGGAAAAATTATAATTTAAAAATTTGTTGTTTGGCCTTGTTTGTTGTTTGTTGGTTAACGTAGAGAATATCTCGTAAACTGAATGCAATCGCAAAATCGCAAAAACAATAACATCAAACATATTATTTATTATTACTACTATGATGATAATGATGATAATGATTATTATTATTGTTGTTGTCGTCGTCGTCGTCGTCGTTGTTGTTGTTGTTGTTGTTGTTGTTGTTGTTGTTGTTGTTGTTGTTGCTGTTGCTGCTACTGCTGCTGTGGTTACTGTTGTTGTTTGATCGCATTCAGGTTCAGTATAGGCTGGATCGGCAGCGAGGGATGCAGCCAGCAGACGCACGGGCAGTACGTGACCTCCTTCTGTGAGACGTTTAGTACCGAACTGACTCGCATGGTGGCAGCAGCGGCGGCGGCAGCGCAGGTCGCGCTGAGCAACGAGCGTCGCTCTACGCTATCAGAGGTGCTCCACCACGCGCATGCGTGCGTCCGCGCCGGAGCCGTGTTCGTCGGACGGGAGAGCGAGCTCGAGCGGGTGGGTTCGTAGCGTGAGATGTGTGATGTTGAAACGAGGGGGGTGCGGGTAGGGCGTACATGGTGTAGTAGCGTGTGGGTTTGTAACGGAGCGTAAGATGTACGGTAATGTGTAAAATTGAGCCTTGGTAGGTGGTACGGAGTGTGGGAGTATATACTTGCCACGGCTTACCTTACCTTTTATTACCTGACCCTACCTTACCTTACCTTACCTTACCTCACCTCGCTTACATTATCTTACCTCACCTCACCTGACCTCACCTTACTTTATCTGACCTTACTTTACTTTACCTTACCTTACTTTACCTTACCTTGTCTCACCTTACCTTACCTTACCTTACCTTACCTTACCTTACCTTACCTTATCTCACCTTACCTTAACTTACTTTACCTTACCTTACCTTACCTTACCTTACCTTACCTTACCTTACGTCATTACCTTACCTTACTGTTTACCTTACCTTACCTTACTTTGCACTTTACCTTACCTTACCTTTCCTTACCTTACCTTACCTTACACTTACCTTACACTTACGCTACTCTACCTTATCTTTACCATTGTTCAGGTACGACTTCTATCTCCGCCGAGCCACGTATCAACCGGTAAGCCGCTCGTCGTTCACGGGGAGAGCGGTGCCGGCAAGACGGCGCTGATTGCCTACGCCGCCCGCCAGGTGGCGCGGCTTGGTTCCGGACGTCCGGGCCGACGCTCGTGCTGAGGTTTTCTCGGGACGTCGCCCTCCTGTTCCGGTCTCGTGTGCATGCTGCGTACTCTGTGCAAACAGATTAGATACGTCTACAGCCGCGTCTCGGAGGAGGAGGGGAGAACGCGAGGAGGAGAGGGGGATGGGGGGGAGATGGAGAGAGGAGGAGGAGAGAGGGGAAGGCGGAGGAGGAGAGAAGGAGCAGACACAGAGAAGGGCAAAAAAGTTCACAGAGAAGACAGCACTGAAAGAGAATGTCATAGAGAATGTTACAGAACGAAGCCACGACGAAGTAGTGTACCAGTAGGCCGAGGCTCCGGAGAAGAAAATCAAGAGAAAGAGACCGGGGAGGAGCACCGAACGGAAGTGTCCAACAGAAGGCACGCCGCACGGAACAGCGAGGCAATGAAGCCGAATGTACGGAAAGGAGATCGCCGTAAGGAGACGACCGAAGAGAAGGAGCGAAGCCGCACTCGGAGGCGCGATCGCGAAGAAGAAGTAAGCGCCGGAGGAGCTGGGCGCGCTCTCTGCTCGCTCTTCCGACGAGCCTCCTCTCGTCGCGCCACGAGTCGGCGACCACTAGAGTCATCTTCCTCGAGCCCTTGACCAGATGTCGGCCTAGCCGCGGGGCACACGCCTCTCTGCGCTGGCGATCCCCGTCAGTCTTCCGGCTAGCGCGCATCGGCTGTAATTTAACGGTCGGCGAACGCGACGTACTCGACGCCACTACGTTTACCACCGTCGACGGAGACACGGCGACGGTGGCGCGCGCGCCGCGGTAAACGTTCTCGAGTCGCGCGAGCTTGGGCGGCGAGCTCGCGCATGCCGCCTACTGCAGACGTGCATGGCTCCATTCTACAGGACGACGAAGATCACGAACGAGCAGGCGGCCGGCGTCGAGGCGTGCTGTTTGCATGGCTGACAGTACGCCGCTCTGCGCGAAAGCTGCGGTGTTCGCACCGTGAGCAAGGTGGACGTCGGTACGCGAGTGGTCCTGTCAGCACTGGCAGACAAACACCGAGAGTCGATTCATGGCGCGTTGTTCGATAGGAATGTGAATTGCAACACGCGAAGCGTAAAACTGCACGCGCGATCAACTATGCAGTCAATATCAAAGCTTGCTATTATTGGATTTGCCCCCCCCCACCCCAACTAATTGAATTATGCTATGACGGTCGGCTGCAGTTATGGGTTGTACGAACGTATGGGCTACATGTGTCGTTGGATATATGGTTGGAGCAATTTTTAATTCAGACCTTTTTTTCAATTAGAATAGGCTCACCTCCTCAGTTTCACTAGAATGTTTTTTTTTTTTTTTTATTTAATTACACCTTTATTTATTCTTTGTTTATTCTATTTCATATAATTTTATTTGTATTTTTAGTGTTTGCTGTCAGCAGGTTCTGGTGCAGCATGCGTTGTCCTTACATTCAGCGGCTTCTAGGAGCGGCTCTGAGTGAGGCCGCAGCTCGAAGATTTACTTTCCCTCGATGAACGAGTGTTGTGGACGCCAACATATTCAATACTTTTCATAAACAACACTTTACTATACGTACACTCCCTATCCGTGTCAAACTGGTAGTCTATTTCGTTAAAATTCCATTATTCCGGTAGTACCTAAAACTATATTAATTTTATTATAAAACTTCTTTAATTTTTATCTAGGCCCTGTCCTAAATCTAAAGTGCAAAAATCATTAAAAACCACCTACATTAGATATAAACACTCAACATTAGATTGGCAAGCGGATATAACCGATTGCAGTGAAATATGCACACATACACGACACCACACACAATACCACACACACCCACACACACACACCACACACACACTCACGCGCTGCTACGCACGCACGCACGACCCACACCACTCTCGGTCTCTTCTCTCTCTCTCTCTCTCTCTCTCTCTCTCTCTCTCTCTCTCTCTCTCTCTTCTCTCTCACGACACTCACCACACACACACGCCACCACACAACCACACACACACACACACACACAACACACACACACATTAACGATACACACACACACACACACACACACACACACACACACACACACACACACACACACACACACACACACACACACACACACACACACACACATGATGGTCTCCTCACTACAGGTGTTAAACGACGTCTATCAGTACCATCTTCCACCGATGCGACGTATTCCACCGTCACTATGGACGCGCATACATAACGACATGGCTGACTATCTGTCAGCAAGAGAGGCCGACGGTACGACGGTGTTCGCGTGGTATCATCGACAGTTCATGGAGGCAGCCCGCGCAAGGTATACACATCGTCTATATAATCCTTTATAATAATATATAGTTATCTATAGTCTTAGATGGCTCTATATAGTCATATATAGTCATTTATAGTCATATACATAGATATATATATAGTCCTGGATGGTTCTCTATAGTCCTATTATAGTCATAGATAGCTCTAAATAGCCCTATATAGTCCTAGATAGTTTTATATAGTCCTATATGGCCCCTATATAGTCCCTATAAAGTCTTCTCCTATTAACTCTGGCGTCTCGCGATTGGGTTCCGCGCCGAATTAACATAATCAACAAATACAAACCATTATAATATGTAACTCCCACTCCATGCGACCAACAAAAGTGTCCTTTACCGTCAAGTGACCGTTCTATAGAGGCGTCCGCTAACACATGTTTGACTGTAGGTAGTTTTAGGGGGTAATCTATTAGAATATAGTCTTATAGGAAGATAGAATACATTCTAATAAAGACTCTAGATCAGTGGTTTGCGAGTCACACTTCATTTTAATACGAGTCTTCAACACCTAGTTTGAATTTATCGTCAACAGATGGCGCTCTTCGCGTCATCGCTGACCCCGGCCCTAATGCGTTATCGTCTGCAGATACTTCAGGAACGTGAACCGCGTGCGGCAGGCGCACTGCACGATGGCCGAGTACTTCCTCGGCACGTGGGGCGGCGGACGCGCCAAGCCGTTCCGCTACAGCGACGCGCAGCTGCAGCAGTTTGCTCTGGAGAAGCGCAGCGATGCCGCGGACCGCATCGTGCCCGCGCAGCCGCTGTTCTACACGAGAGCAGACGGCACCGTCAGCGGGTAGGCATCATTACACGGGCACACGGGGGTGGGGTGGACCACGAGCACTGGGAGAGAGTGAAAGATGTCATGGATACAGGAGACAGACCGCGAACACTCGAGGAGAGGGCAAGATGTCATGTGAACAGGGGGATAGACCGCGAACCCTGGGGGCAAGATATCATGGATACAGGGTGGCAGACAGTGGACCCTGGGGGCAGGATGTCATGGATACAGGGGCAGACCGCGGACACAAGGGGGAGGAACAAGATATCATTGGGACAAACCGCGGACACGGAGGGAGGGGGAAAGCTGCCATGGATACAAGGGAACAGATCCCAAAAGCACTGAAGTAGGGGGTAAGGCATAGATACAGGGGGATAGACCGCGGACACTGGGAAAGGGGCAAGATGCCATGTGGATAAGGGGACAGGTCGAGTGCACTGTAGGCGGGAGCAAGATGTCATGGATACAGTGGGATAGGCCGCGAGCACTAGAGGTGGCGGCAACATTTCATGGATACAAGGGGCAACATGCCATTGAAACAAAGAGCGAGAAGCCATGGGTAAAAAACACATACCATGGATACAGGGGGATATACCGCGGACACGGGAGGGGGGCAAAAATCCATAGGTAAAGAAGACATACTACAGACATGGGGCATAATGTGTGGGGCGAGATGCCATGAATAAACGGGACATACCATGGACAAGGGAGGGAGCAAAACGCCATAGATACAAGGAGTAAACCACGGAGACTTTTTGGGGAGGGGGTACGCTGTTATTCTTATATTTGAGATGCAGCTTTGTCATTCACAGTTTCATCGTCTAGGTATAACATGAGGAAGTTGAATGAGCTGCCATATCACCTGGTGCGCAGCCAGCAATTTGATGAGCTCTACGAGAACTGTCTCTTCTGTTTCCAATGGCTTCACAGCAAGTTGTCGTGCTGCCCTCTACAGGCCGTACTAGCAGACTTTGACGACACATACACCTTCATCAAGGTTAGGTTAGAGTAGCTGTGTGTGGCGGCGTGTATGTGTGTGTGTGTGTGTGTGTGTGTGTGTGTGTGAAACAATATTATTATTAATGCTATTATTATTACCAATTTCTAATAAATAATACACACAGAGCTAGCTGACGATGCGGCCAGTGAAGCTATGTAATTGGAAGTATTGACCAGAGATAACTCGTCTGCCGCTAGGTTCTACGTCGACGACGAACTGCAGCTGGTCGTCGATCCTACAACTAACTTCTTCGATTATGGCGGCTGGAACGGTAAGGGCTTGGACAACCCCTGGCAAGGACGCGCCAAGATGGCGCCCTTCGATCAACCAGTGAGTCTACGAGCAGTGTTTCAAATATTTCCACAATAATTACCCCATAGAATGAAAAAGAACATAGTAATGATTGGTAGAAAAATTAGTTGCCATTTACAAAATTAGTTATTAATTAGTTTGTAGTTAATTAGTTGTAATAAATTAGTTGTTATTAAATACGAATAGAATACTTCATTGTAGGATGGTAGTATTTGTGCTATTTTTCAGTTCTACATCGTCATGAACGTAGCAGTTGGCGGCGTTAACGGATACTTTAACGACGCTTGGACAAACAGCCCGCACCGAAAGCCGTGGAGCAATGGATCCGGACAAGCCTTCAAGGATTTCTACGATCAGGTAAGACGAGTGTCACAGTGCGACGTATACGATAATAGACAGTGGCAGATGCCAGCCAGGCGGCCATGCCTATACATGACGACAGAAGCACAGCTAGAAGATGGTCAGGCAAGCTATAAATGTCGATTATATACACACACACACATATATATATATATATATATATATTTAAGGTAATCGCAACCTGAGGGCACCTGATGGACAATCTAATGGTCAGGATGTTGCCTCCTCCACCGTGCACTGGGGACCGTACTGGCCCGAGGACCGCTGGTGGAAAACTCACAAATCTTAGTGAGCATTTACAGCGACAATCACATCTATTTACGCATCTCATACGCCATGTCTTCTTCACTTCGCAGTTGCTAGTCATTACAAAACATTTAGAGTGCATTATAGTTTATAATAGTTTATAATAATAGATAAACATAACATAAATAATATAGATTAGATGGATTATATATGAATAACATAGTGATCGATAATGTTAATCAATCTTAATCAGATCAATGTAGTTTCGGGGCTCGCGTAAGTAACTGTGATGAGGGTGGGGGGGTTGCTTTAGTAACATAAGTAAATAGCAGTCGTGTTTCATAGGGAGGTGTCCTGTTGTTATGCTGTTATTATATGTTGCCATCATGTGCCGTTTGCATAGTGTGTGTCTGTGTGTGTGAGTGCGTGTGCGTGTACATGTGAGCGCGCGTGGATGTGTCTTGCGATACATGGCCGTTAATTGGAGCTAATAGACATACAATGTTGTTTACATTCTACTTTTAAATGTCAGTAAAGTTAGTCGTAACGGGTAAACTAAACTAAAATCGTTCACCATTTCGATCCCCTCGAGAAGCTCGATTCTAGAGAGAAGTTCTCGCCGAAGATTTTTCCGTTCGACATTTCTCGGTCCTTCCGGGCTTCGATTACTGATCGATTACTGTTCGATTACTCCGATAACTCTATGCGACGTACTATGACCGACTGCCCGTTGCCGCAGACTCGTCGTCTGGGACATGCTCAGTGGCGCCGTCTGGCAGGTCGTCAAGCCGGGCGTGATGGGAATCCTCCAGCAGGTGGCGCTGAGCGGCAGCGAAAAGCACGCGGCGACGTACAGCAACTACAGCGTACTGGTCGTCTGCAACATCCTGACGGGAGAATTCTGCACGAGCGCCGTGTCAGACGACGCAGACCCCGTCAGAGTGCGTACGCTCGTTGCCAGATGGCAGCACGGACCCCAGGGGGAAATCTCGCTGGGCAACCACAACTCTCTACTTCTATCACAGCAATCATACGTTAGATATGTTGTCTATAGGCCCTTAATCGACTTTGTCCATATTTGTTATTCCATTATATTAACTGAATTGATGTGTTTATTATTCGAAGACCGAAGTAGTATTTTTTAAATTTTATCGGCGGACCTGTTCTAATCATTGCAGAAATCATAAGCAAGCATAGAAACACTAACTAGTATGTTATTTCTAAGACGGAGACTCACTCGCTCTTCGCTAACCGAAAACGACTGTAATAATAATTGATATCGTAGATAGGCGTTGCCTGTAATAAAAAACAGGTGGAAAGCATAGACACATGATAAATTGCTCAAGGTCGAGCTAATAATGCTCAAGGTCGAGCTAATAATGCTCAAGGTCGAGCTAATAATGAGCAATTTCTCGAAGTAGCAAAAAGTAACAAGTAATAATGACGTAATATGAAGTATATAGTAAAATACAAGTGAATCACAAAGTAGTACAGGTTCATATAATTACTTAGATCATAATATAATTAAAATTATTACATAACTAATTATTACTAATACTTATATTGTTAGTTTTATACCGTCGTGTTTGACTGACGTCTCATCTTCTATCCAGGGCATCGCATTCCACAACGATGACATTCTGCTGTGGACCTCTCGTGTCTGGATGTTCTACAGCATCGAGGGGCGTCTCCTGTCCAGACACGAAATACCTGCGTGTCGAGAACTCGAGTATGTCGACTACGTGTCCTCGGAGGAGCACCATCTCGTCACGAGGGCTGGCGAACATAGAGAGATGCAGCTGGTAACACATCGAGGCGATGCCGTCGAGAAGCCGTTCCTGTTTCATAGCGCGATGGTCATGGACAGGGCAAGGTAAAGCGCCATCTCTAGCCGTGATGTTAACGCTTATGTATGTATAATTAGCGGTACGTGTAGTGTAGTTTACGTGGCTGCACATTCATGGTAGGATAGCCCATAGATATATACAACACATGTGTTGTATATATCTATGGATAGCCGCATAATAATAAGATATAAGCATGCGCATATAGGCCGATGTTCACTGAGTATACCTTACCATCTATAATGTCATACGTCCTTATAACTATCTGTCCTTTGGGGAGAGAGACTGCTGCTGCTGCTGCTGCTAACTACTACTACTACTACTACTACTACTACTACTACTACTACTACTACTACTACTACTACTACTAGAAGCGCAGCTGCATCTATAATATTATCT